GGGGGACACAGGCTGATAGTGGAGAAGGGAGAGGATGAGTGAGTGCACAGGGAACACCGTTGATGTAAACTAATTTTGTAATTACTTTGACTGGTCGTTTCCCGTTTGTCAAATTTGGTTGTGCATGATTGGTGACCATAGTTACTACTGATAAATGATTGCTGATGCAGGTACCAGAGATAACGTAGACAAATTGAAATTATCCATGTTTCCGCAAAGAAAATGCTGATTCAAAGGTCTTTATGCATGGACATCCTTGATCAGAGCTGATAAAGCTCGAACTTAAAAACCTAACTGTTATCAGTACCGTACTTAAGTTAAAAGTGGCGTCTTCACAATGATATAGGAATCACATATCTCTTTAAGATATGAGACAAAAATGTCGGTCTACATACATGTATCTATTGAGAGGTTTTACAACAGAACAAGCATTCTCCTCTTTGACTCTTCAAGGTCAATTCCTAATCATTGTTTACAAAATAGCGATAAGAGGCGGATTCAAGTACGCTACAAACAACTTCTCGTCTTTTCCAAGGTTAAGACAAGTTATTTTATCAATCTAGTAGTGGTCTACGTCTCTTTCATATGTATATAAACATCTTGCTAGAGTGCATCATGTTAAAAAAAACAAAAAAAACAACAACCCCCCCAAACAAAAACCACCCACATTTTCGTCTGTCACCAGCCTGTAGCTATGAGTATCTTCAAAACACTTTACCGCGCCTTTTTTTCAAAGATGTAGGAACAAGACTAGTGCAGAAAAAATGTGCGCCATGTTTTAAACTATCAGGTGGAATCGATAACTCAGTTTCGTCCAAAGTGGGATATACTGTCTTTTAACCCTTTGAGCCCTTGTCACCGTTACACTGGTGGCGCGTAAAACTGCCGTGTGCCCAGCCACCAGTATAATATACCGATGAGCGAGACCAAAGGAGGTTACAGCTTCTTGGTGAGACCCTATCCACAACTAGAGGTTCGCAAAATCCGGATAAATATCGGGATAATCGGATAATCCTCAATAAGACATTATTCGAATTCAGACTCTTTACTCTTTTTCCTGACCCGTTTGCCGAAGTGGGTGCACTTATTCGTTGAAGTGATGCTAACCCGTTTGTCAAAGTGGTTTTAATCCATTTGCCGAATCGGTTCATAACATATTATTTACCGAAGAGGTGCACTAACATTAACATATTATCCGGATTTTGCTAAAGCGACTCATAGTCCAGCCCTATCCGCAACCAGGCCTGCCTGATACAAAACGGGTACGGAAAACAGCGTTTACTGGGCTTACACAAGACATGATTGATTATTTTGAAGATCTTTCTGAATTAGATACGAGTAATGACTAGTAATGAGGAAAGAAGCAATGGAGAATATTGTAACAACAGGCAAGTTTGATGGAAAGAGAGGCAGAGACAGACAGAGGGAAAAGATACTGGACAAGATGACAACATGGCTAGGAGCAGCAAGAACAACAGACACCATTGCTGCAACGCAAGACAGAGTGAAGTGGAGGTCCATGATCGCCCTCGCCAGTCGGCAAGGCACCGTATGATGAAAAATGACAAGGACTACCTTGAGTTTTGTGGGATATGGAATATGATCCTGACGATCAAATGAATGTTAGTAATATATCGCTCAGGAGCTCAGGCAGAGGGGCACCGTAGTCTCAGGACAGGAGGTCAGGGCTCAAAGGGTTAACCCCTTCACTGCTGACAAAATGCCCACCAACATCTGTAGGCTATTGGCAAGAAAAATGTTAATTCAAGGAATATTTAAACAAAGAGAATAGTTTCAGAATAAGCAAAATCGCAAGTTGTAACTATACCAAAGAAAACTTCTTTTTGTCGACCCGATAACACAATATAAGTGCAGAATACAAGCCAGAACATAGTCTACTCTGCAGTGAAGAGGTTAATTAAGACAAAACTCCAGTGTTGAACTGTGACTGTACTCAGTTAATACCTTGTCTTACGGGTATTGATCATGATATCCGTACTCAGTATTTTTGTACCTGCTCCTGTGGTGTAGTGGGTAGGGGGCTTCGCTGTCGCACGCAGGAGACCCGGGTTGATTCCCGAGTGGGGAGAATCTTTAATCGAGTATCTCGGTCTTTGTGATGTGATGTTGTATCCCTCTCAAGCCCGGGGACTGCTCAGTGTGTCACAGGCCCAGTAAACAGTTAGTCACAGGACAGACTACAGTTTGTCACAGGCCCAGTAAACAGTTAGTCACAGGACAAACTACAGTTTGTCACAGGCCCAGTAAACAGTCAGTCACAGGACAGACTACAGTTTGTCACAGGCCCAGTAAACAGTTAGTCACAGGACAAACTACAGTTTGTCACAGGCCCAGTAAACAGTCAGTCACAGGACAGACTACAGTTTGTCACAGGCCCAGTCAGTCACAGGACAAACTACAGTTTGTCACAGGCCCAGTTAGTCACAGGACAAACTACAGTTTGTCATAGGCCCAGTTTGTCACAGGCCCACTATGAATTGAATTTTATTTTCCAATTGTTTTGAACGAAAGAACATTCAGAGTTGATTTTTTTTACAGAGTAATTTAAATTTGCTTTGATTTTTATGTTTGAGGAAAGCATAATAATTATGGGTTTTTTTCTGACAAATCTAAACATTATGACGGCTTTGACGACTCTGTGTATTTTCAAAACTGTAGTGAAAATCGTGAGAAGTGTTTTTTCACAACTGCTGTTTTCTATAGGTAAACAATCACTTTTGTTACACACGAACACATGTGTCCGCCCAAGGAACAAGAGAACGGAACTGTGGCCTGTCAGTAATTATCAAGAGTCATAGGCGTGTACACGTGTACGCTTTTGTGATCCATTTGGGCAGTGTGGTTTTTATATTTTGAATTGTTAACTTGCTAAATACCATATATTGTGATGAAGATGAAGTCGAAATTAAAGCTGAAATTCTTTACTCACAAGAATATTGCTCTGAAAGTATATAATTATTTCACTTGTGAGAAAAATTGCGGTCGTCTAAATAGTTCAATTTCTGATCCATTTAGCAGAATTAAACATTTGCTTGATTTAAGTGACAGACTTTGAACAGATGGATGTCGGAGGAAAATGCAACCGAAGACGTCGAGGTGACAAAGAGAGGCCGACCTGTTAAATTTGATACCTTTGACAGAGATCTTGTGGGACGCGCTATTGGAAAGATGTAAGGTGATTGTGTAACCATCAATGTCGCTTCAGATAATGGTCATGAAATTTGTTCAGAGCTGGCAACGCCTATGAACATCCGAGAAACAAGCAATTTGTCCAACTTTCAGCACGTGATTACTGTAAAACTTGTATTGAATTAGTAATGATACTTCGTAATTAATTTACCAGCCTCAATTTCGGAAAATTTATTGCATTTCCCAGTGGATGAGATGGATACTAAGCTCTTCTCAAAATATGAAGGTGATCGGTTGGGTAGTCTTTGAGATATCCTGCGTCACACATCGGCAACATTTTTGTTACAAGCTATAACTGGGCCCTCTTTCGATCAAAGGAATAAAAAGAAATCAAGTCATTGAGGAACAGTACGCACGGCTAGTGAACGGAAGCATCACTTGTTTACAATGTCGTCTTAGAAGACGGACTTTCCCAAGATTAGAACTGAACGAAACTAATGAAAAACTGAAAATTAAACTTAGATCTAAACGGGTCGCACACTTAAATAGTGCTCAGTGTATTGCCCGACAAAGCGCGATGGTATCGAACGAAAGGACGACTTGAAATAAGTAAACCTGGCGGATTTTCTTAAATTACAGAGACAGAAGCGTCGGACTACAAAAGCGATCGGTGAAATAAAGAAATTTAGCTTTTTGCAGCAAAACTGTCTCAAAACTGAAAAAACAAAAACGAAGGAGTCATGATCTGGAGAATTTTTAAAGAATCTTTTGGCGAAAACCGCATGTCGATCTATGCAGCCATTAGAAAGCTTTTTGAATAGCAACATTCGGCCACCACAAATAGATAATAGAAACAGGTGGGTGACAGGGAAACATCAGAATAATAAGAATATAACTTTTTTTTTTTAGAGCATCCGAGTAAAGGAATGAATGG